ACCACAGCAGAATACACATTCTTCTCAAGGGCAAATGGCACATGGAACATTCTCTGGGACAGACCATATTCTAAGTCATTAAGCCTCAATAAATTCAAAAGGGGTGAAATCATAAAAAGTATGTTTCCAACCACAATATGATGAATTAAGAAATCAATAACAGAAATTACAAATATGTAAAAACTAACACACTCCTCAATAACCAATGAATCAAAGAAATCATCAAAACAATAGAAATTGCTTTGAGGTGAATGAGGATGAAGACACAACATATCAAAATGTATGGGATGTAGTAAAAGTAGAACTTAAAACTTAACTTATAGCTATAAATGCCTATATTAAAAAAGAAGAAAGAAAAAATAAATAAATGAAAAAGAGGAAAGATTGCAAACCAATAACCTAACCTTCCACCTTCACACAATAGCAAAAGAAAAGCAAATTAACCCTAAAGCAAGTAAAAGGAGGGAAACAAAGATTAGGGCAGAAATTAAAGGCATAATTTGCGACGACGTGGATGGAACTAGAGGGTATTATGCTTAGCGAAATAAGTCAATCGGAGAAAGACAACTATCATGTGATCTCCCTGATATGAGGAAGTGGTGATGCAACATGGGGGGTTTGGGGCGTAGGAAAAGAATAAACGAAACAAGATGGAATCGGGAGGGAGACAAACCATAAGAGACTCTTAATCTCACAAAACAAACTAAGGGTTGCCGGGGCCGGTGGGGGGGGGCGCCCTAGGGAGAGGGTGGTGGGGTTATGGACATTGGAGAGGGTATGTGCTATGGTGAGTGTTGTGAAGTGTGTAAACCTGGCGATTCACAGACCTGTACCCCTGGGGCTAATAATACATTATATATTTATTAAAAAACAAAAAAAATTATTAAAAAAAAAACAAAAAAAAGAAATTAAGGGCATAGAAAATAAAAAAACAGCAGAGAAAATCAACAAAATTAAAGGTTGGTTCTTTAAAAAGATTGACAAAATTGACAAACCTTTAGCTTCACTGAACAAGAAAATCAGAGAGAAGACTCAAATTACCAAAATTAGGAACGAAAGAGAGAACAATACTATAAACCTTATGGAAATAAAGAAAGTTATAAGGGCATGCTATAACTACTCCAACAAATAAGATAATTCAGATGAAAGGGACAAGCTCCTAAAAAAACACAAACTACCAAAAGTAAGAAGAAATAGGAAATCTGAATAAAGCTAAAACAAGTAAAGAGATTGAATGAATAATCTTAAAACATCTTACAAATAAAGACCCAGGCCCAGATGGCTTCACTGGTGAATTCTACCAAACATTTAAAGAAGAATTAATATACCAAGTCTTTACTAGGAACAGCACCCTAATACCAAAACCAGACAAAGACATCATTTAAAAAAAAAAAAAGGGGGGGGGGAGACAACTACAGACTGCTATCTCTTATGAATATAAGATATAAAAGTCTTGGGACGCCTGGGTGGCTCAGTTGGTTAAGCAGCTGCCTTCGGCTCAGGTCATGATCCCAGCGTCCTGGGATCGAGTCCCACATCAGGCTTCTTGCTCTGCAGGGAGCCTGCTTCTCCCTCTGCCTCTGCCTGCCATTCTGTCTGCCTGTGCTCACTCTCTCTCTCTCTCTCATAAATAAATAAAATCTTAAAAAAAAAAAAAGATATAAAAGTCTTTTAACAAAATACTAGAAAACTGGATTCATCAACACATAAAAAGAATTATACATCATGACCAGAATACAACGTTGGTTTAAATTCCTAAAAACGAATTAATGTAATATACCATACCAAATAGAATAAAGGATAAAAAAACACAATAATCTCAATAGATGCAGAAAAAGTATTTAATAAAATCCAACACTCTTTCATGATAAAAACACTCAATAAATTCCCTGGAATTTCCTGAATCTGATTAAGGGCTTCTGTGAAAAACTCTCTCTAACATCATACTTAAAGGTGAATCGCTGAATGCCTTCCCCCTAAGATCAGGAATAACATAAGGATGTCCAGTCCTACAACTTCTCTTTAACACTGTACTATAGGTTCCAGGCAGGGCAATAGAGAAGAAGATGAAATAAAAGGCAACCAGATTAGAAAGGAAGAAGTAAAGCTATCTCTGTTTGCAGAAGACATGATCTTGTATACAGAAATTCCTAAGGATTCCTATAAAAAATTATCAGAATAAACAAGTTCAGCAAGGTTGCAAGGTATAATATCAATATATAACAAATAAATTATATTTCTAAACACTAGCAATGAATAATCCAAAAATAAAATTAAGAGAACAATCTACAATATCAAAGGAACACTTAGGAATAAGAGTAACCAAAGAAGTACAAAATTTACACTCTAAAAAATTTCAAAAACTGTTGAAAGAAATTAAAGAAAATCTAAATAAGTGGAAAGACATCCCATGTTCATGGACTAGAAGACTAAACACAGCTACAGTGGCAATATTCTCCAAATTCATCTACAGACTCAACATAATCCCTATCAAAATCCCAGCTATCTTCTTGGCAAAAATTGACAAACTGATCCTAAAATTCATATGGAATGTCAAGGGACCCATAATAGCAAAAACAATCTTGAAAAAGAGAAACAAAGCTTGAGGGCTCATTCCTCTCAATTTCAAAACTTGGGGAAAAGCTCCAGTAATCAAGACACCATGGGGACACCAGGCTGACTCAGATGGCAGAGCACACAACTCTTTTTTTTTTTTTTTAAAGTTTTTTTTTTTTTTAAGATTTTATTTATTTATTTGTCAGAGAGAGAGAGGGAGAGAGCACAGGCAGACAGAATGGCAGGAAGAGGCAGAGGGAGAAGCAGGCTCCCTGATGAGCAAGGAGCCCGATGTGGGACTCGATCCCAGGACGCTGGGATCATGACCTGAGCCGAAGGCAGCTGCTTAACCAACTGAGCCACCCAGGAGTCCCGAGCACACAACTCTTGATCTCTCATGGTGTGTTAGGGCCCCACGTTGGGGGTAGAGATTACAATCAATCAGTCAATCAATCAATCAATAACACCATGGTACTAGCATGAAGACAGATGTATAAATCCATGGGAGAGAATTGAGGAACAGAAATAAACCCTCACATTTATAGGCAATTGAGTTTTGGCAAGAGTACCGACACCACACAACAGAGAAAATACAGTCTTTTTCAACAAATGGTGCAGGAAACACAGGATATGCACATGTAAAATGTGGAAGCTGGATACCTTCCTCAAGCCTTACACCAAAAATTAACTCAAAATGGATCATGAACCTAAATACGCAAAGTAAAGCTGAAAAAAAATCTTATAAGAAAATCTATGTATATGTTTCATGGCCTTGGTTTCCTAGATATGATACCCCGAGCATTAGCAACAAAAGAAAAAATGGATAAACTGGATGCCACCAAAATTAAAAACCTTTGCATCCAAAGGACACCATCAAGGAGGTAAAAAGAATTCACGGAATGGGAGAAAATACTTGCAAATCTTATCTGTGATAGGGGATCTATACCTAGGATATATAAAGAACACTTACAACTCAAAAACAAAAAGACACGACATAATTTTAAAAAATGGGCAAAGGATTTGAATAGACATTTCTCCAAAGGGGAACTACAAATGGGCAATAACTGTATAAAAGATGTTCAACGTTATTAGTCATAAAAGAGATGCAAATCAAAACCACAATGAGCTACCCCTTCACACCCACTAGGAAGGCTATAATTAAAAAGATAACTGGAAGTTGTTGGAAACGTGGCTGATGGGAACGTACAGTGGTGTTGCTGCTTTGGAAAACAGCCTGGTATTTCCTCAAAAGATTAAATATAGAGTTACCATTATGATTCAGAAGGTCTGCTCTAGGTATGCACCCAAGAGAAAAGAAAACCTTCACATAAAAACCTGTACGCAAATATTTATAACATCATTATTCATAATAGCCAAAAAATGGAAACCACCATATGTGCAGCAGCTGACGAATGGACAAATAAAATGTGGCCACTATATCCAGACAATGGAATATTATTTGGCAAGAAAAAGGAATGAGGAACTGATAACATGCTATGACACGGACGAACCTTGAAAACATGATGCTAAGTGAAAGAAGCTAGACAGAAAAGACCACATTTATAGTAAAGGTCCAAAATCGGTAAATCTATAGAAACAGAAAGATAGGTTGTTGCCTGGAGCTAGAGAAGGAACATCTGAGGGGGAGTGACTAATGGAAACACAGCTTCTTTCTGGGGTGATGAAAATGTTCTAAAATTGTTACACAACTCTGTGAGTATACCAAAAACCATTAAATAGTACATTTTAAATGGTTGAATTGTTTGATATGTGAATTGTATCTCAGTAAAGCTGTGATATTTAAAAACAAAACACTACAGCAGAAGGCCACTGTTCAACTATTAGATTGGCAAAGACCCCAAAATTCTACAGCAACCTGCCTGGTGAGAGGGAGGAGACACCAGGGGGTGGGGGTGGGCATCGACACAACCCACCGGAAGGACCATCTAACAATCTCCATCAAAATTATGACTGCACACACCCTCTCACCCCGCATTTTGGGATCAATCCTTAAGGAATCGTCCCACATGGATACTAAGTGTATAACTGAGGGTCTCCATCACTGAACTGTCTGTAAGCAGAGACTGGAAACAACCCAAGTATTCTTCACAAATTAAATAAAGCATGGTCTCCATCTACACAACGAAGACTAAGCAACCATGAAAAAGAAAGCAGCACCCAACAATCCCCAACGTACGCTGTCAAGAAAAAAGTTATACCACAGGCTACGTGTGTGTATGTGTGTGTTACACATTTATTCATGCCTCTCCATCTCCCTGGAAGGACACACCAGAACCCCTCCCAATGGTTGTCTCTGTCAAGGAGACCTGGGTCCAAGAAAGGCTTTTCCCTGTCTTCCTTTGTACTTTGAATTTTTTTTTTTTTTAACTGTGTGTGTGTGTGTATGCTTTTTCTTTTCCTTTTAGGAAAAAACACAGGCTTACCTGGTCTCGAATCCTGGTGCGCTCTCTCTCATAGCTGGCAAAGTCCCCTCGCTTCTCTGAGCTTGTGTTCTGCAAAGAGAGGGATAATTGTATCAGCCTTCAAGGTTGTTGTGGAAGGGCAAATAAGACAGCCTGTGCACAGGGCTCTCTGCTGTGCCTGTTTATTATTTATTGTTTATTAATAGGTCACCCTCTACACCAAGGTGGATGGTACCAGGTGGCAGCAGGGGGCCTCGGACCACATGTGCAGAGCATTGGCCATCCTCTCGGACTGGGAGAAGCCGGGAAAGGCTTACTGGGAGAGGCAGCATTTGAGAAGGACTTCAAGAATGAGAAGGAGGGGCGCCTGGGTGGCTCAGTGGGTTAAGCCGCTGCCTTCGGCTCAGGTCATGATCTCGGGGTCCTGGGATCGAGTCCCGCATCGGGCTCTCTGCTCGGCAGGGAGTCTGCTTCTCTGTCTCTCTCTCTCTCTCTCTCTCTGCCTGCCTCTCCATCTACTTGTGATCTCTCTCTGTCAAATAAATAAATAAAATCTTTAAAAAAAAAAAAAAAGAATGAGAAGGAGTTCCACAAGCAGAGATGACTGGGGACAATGCTCCTGGCAAAGGGAGCCATGCACTCAAAGACCCGGAGATAGGAAAGCCCTGGGTATTCACTTAATTACGCTTTCGTTGGTTCCTTCCACTAAGCTTAGCTGAGCATCTGCTAGACGCCAGCCACTGTGGTGGGAAAGACAGGCAAAAGCGAAGGGGCTAAACCTTCCAAGGGAGGAATTATAGTGATGGGGACAAGGAGGGACTGGGGCAGAACTGCACATCCTACTGCTCAAAGAGCAGACCAGGAAAAGAAGGCTCAGAGAGGGACAGGGGTGGCCTAAGGTCACACAGCAGGATCTCAACTTCTGAAAAGACCTCCACCCTCTCCCCCACCCCACAGGCCTGGAGAAGAAAATGCCCACAGGGGGTCCTCCTGATGTGCACCCCTCAGAAGGTGGACAGATACCATCTAAACTGGGGGGCCCACGAAAAGGAGAGACAGTTGGTTCTCAGGTGACAACAATGGCCAGTTGATGAGCAGAGACACTCCTGTGTGTCAGACATCATACTAAGAACGGCATTTCGAGCATGACGCCCGATGAGCCCACGGCGGCCCTGTGTGGCCAGCCCTGTTTTGCTGAGGCATACGGAGGTCATGGTGCTTGCCGAAGGTCACAGAGCCCATAAGACGCAGCAACCACAAGAGGACTTGAACCGTCTGAGTTCTGTGACCTCATGTCTCAAGGACCCACCTCCAAGGGAGCCAACAACAGGATCAGTATCAGTGGTCACAACCCCTCTCAGAAGCGCCCAAGCTGGGACCTCTTAAGCCACTCCAGGAATGTCTCCTGATAACAGCGACCCAAGCAGGGGTGGGGAAGAATGGGCGGAGGAGGTTGTATCAGGAATGTGTTGGGGTGGAGGGGGAGGAGGTGGTGGGGAGGTGATCAGCCCATCGGCAGCCATCAGTCCTGTCTCTAGAGAGAGGGACTGGAAAGGCACTATCAGGCGCCTATCGGAGCCAGGCGGGCTACCGCATAGAGTAAAGAGGGCCCTCCACGGCGGCCCACAGGCGGACCCTGGATAAATTAACCAAAGCCTCCTTCGGTACCATGGAGATGCCCATGGTCACCCCCAGGCAGCTGCAGAGGCAAATGAGCTAACCGACGCAGAGCCCGGAGCGCACAGGCCACGCTTCATAAAAGGGGACGTCACTGTTGGGAACGTGATCACTTCCATTATTGCTTAGTTCCCTGGGTCTCGTTAGGACCCCAGCTACGCGGGGGCGATCAGCCCTGTCTTGCAGAGGAGGGGACAGAGGGAGGCTCAGAGAAGCCAAGTCAGGTGCCCTGGCCACCATCCAAGATAGAAGTGGACCCTTTGGGGTTCCTGGGACTCAGGGCCCTAGGCCGCCATCAGCCCTTCTATCCAAGGCCACTGGTCCCAGCTGGCCTCCGGCAGGGAGTCCATGCACTGGGGACTAAACAGGGCTCCATGGCCAGTCCACTGTCCATACAGGGAAATGGGAGGCCAGGACAGAGGGAATGGCTGATGTATAGAGTGGCCACATATGGAGTGAACATGGGACCCTTCTGAACCTCTGAGGCTGGGTCCCCAACTGACAACCCCCCCCCCGTCCCTCCTCACAACAGCCCTGTGGGGAAGGTGCCACCAGCACCACCCTGTCCACAGAGGAGGCCGGAGGAACGTGGCGAGGGTGTCAGTCCAACGCTCCCATTTCACAAACGGGGGCTGCGTCCCGTTCCAGCCTCCCCTCCGTCCTCCCACACCTGAACGGAAGCTCCCCGTGGGCAGGGGTCTTCACCTGAGTCCTTCTTTCCTTTCACACTCTTGAAAGAATCACCTATCAAACAGGGGTGTGTTCCCACAGGTGGTTTGGAATATGGAAAGGACTCTGGCTCCAGACTGGGGGGATATGAACAATGACAGTAGGAAAAGCTAGTACTTATTTAGGATCTACTGTGTACCGTTCTCATTATCCCATTTATAAATGAGAAAACAGACACACACCAATTAAACGATGGGACTAAAATCTCTTAGCAGTTCACCGACAAGTCCCTCCATCTCGGAGCTTCTGCCTAAAGGGAAGGCCCCGAGGAAGGAGCCTTGGCTGGGCTCTTCTTGGTAGGGTCTAGGGCCCCCTTGGCTCCCTCAGCAGAACTCAGTGCCATCGGCTGATCCAGTGCAGGCTGGAGGGGTGGATGGGGCATGCTGATGGCCACGTTCCCCTCCCCCAACCTCCTACTCAAGGTTCACACTACCCCTTCAAATGTTCCCAAAAGCCCTGAACTGAGCCATGGCCACACTCATGTCACATGTGAGGACATAAAGTCTCCAGGAAGCTGCCAAGCCAGGAAGTGGAAACCCAGATGCCAACACAGATCCAGGCGATACCAAAGCCCATCCTGCCTCCACAGGACCTATAAGGAAGCATGGGAAGGGCAGTCTAGGAGGGCTGGCACAATATGTGCCAAGATCCTGAGGCAGGAAGGCCAGATGTACAGGGGGTTATTGCGTGAGAGGTCTGGACTGTGTGGGTCCCAGCTTAACTGGGTCACTGCTAGTGTCTGGGCCAGGCCTGAAGAGGTCTGAAGCAGGCCCTGAGAGGGATAAGTCTGGCAATTTAGATCAGAAAGTTCTGAAAAACTGAGAGGGGAGACCATGAAAGTTTTCTCAGGCCCCTGAGGGTATGTGATGGGGCAGGTAAGGTTAGTGAGTCTTCATCACACAGTGATCTTATCAGAGCACAGTAACCTCCAGCTCCAGCAGGCTGGAGGGACAAGAATGATCCTAAACCATGGTGGACTTCTCAGAGGAGGGGACATCACAGCTGAGGTCCAAAGGCTGGGCAGTGTATGAAAAAAGGCAGAGGAAGTATGATCCAGGCAGAAGGGCCTACTTGGGCAAAGGCCTAAAGGTGGGGTCATTAAGAGAAAGGAAGGGAGCCAGTCAGTGTTCAGTTTGTAGCTTCAGTCTCCCCAGCAGCAAAATGGGCAAAAAGACAGGCACACAGTGGGTGGCTCCAGTGTTCCCATGTCCACTTCCCACCATCCCCCATATCAAAGGCCTAAGAGATCAGTCACTGGAAAGCTGCTGCTGGGTCCTCCTGCTCATGGGAGCATCTTGGGGCTGGTGAGGTTCCCCCTCAACCCTCTCTGGCTTCTCCCTAGAGCCTAGGCCGGGCAGCCAGGCCAGCAGGTGAGCAGGGCAGCCCACAGGCCAGGAGGCCACAGTCCCCATGCTAGGGAGCCTCTGTGAGACGTCCCCTTCACAGACCAAGAGCTTAGGCTTGGGGCAGGGGGCGCCCAGACCGGCATCACAGAGCCAAGCGAGTCTGGCCCCTGACCAAGGGTGTGGGCACAGGGAGGGTGAAAGTCTTCAGTCAGAATCGCTGTGTGATCTCAAGCAAGTCACACCCCATCTTGAGGCCCGGTGTCTGGACCTCTGGACCTGGACAGACGCCCTGGCATGCCAAGGCTTCCTTAGCAGATACCACTCCCGACCCTACCGCCACCCCGTGCCACTGAGGCTTCAAGTTTTGTTCTCTCCAGGCCTCTCCAAGGTCAACCCCTCCGGGCTGCCAACTGCCCCACCCTGGCTGGCGGACAGGCCTTGGGGGGACAACTGGCAGCCAGCAGCCTCTGCCCACTGCACTCAGGGGCTCACAGTGTTCATGACTCCCTGCCAGCAGCTCTGCTTCTCTGCTCTGAGAACACAGAGTGCCCCCTCCTCGCTACCCACACCCAGGCAGGAACTCTGTGAGGGACACGAGTGGGCAGGAGCACCTGGTGGCCTGGTCCCCTCCACACAGTCAGCCCTGAGCTCCATCCCCTCCCCCAACCACGAGGCCCACACACAGGTGGCCCCCCACCCCAGATGCATGGCTTTGGGACGTCCAGCTCTCCCTTTACTTAACCCATAAAATGATGCCTCTGTCAGACCCGACGGGGGGAGCCTCTGAGCCTGAGGCTGATGATGGGCAAGATGGGCCTTAAAGCTTCTACCTGCGGCTCGCAGGATGGAGGCCCGCTGCTTTCTCCCTCCTCTCTACCCCTCGGCCCTACCCTCAACTCGTAACCATGTAACCACCACCGTCTGGCCTTCAGGCTTGGCACGTGCAGCCCCCTCCTCCAGGGCCTCCCCACCTACCCACCTTGACCCTTCACAAACTCCAGTACAAGGAGGGAGGGATGGAGGGAAGGAGGGAGGAAGAGACAGGGGGAGGGAGGGAAGGATGGATGGGTCCCACCCAGGGCCTGGAATAATGAAGAGGTACAGGCCTCAGTCCTGGGTCTGTCCTGCCCCACAGCCTACACCCCAACCAGCCCCATCTCCTGCCACCACCTGAGGGGTCCCTGTCGCCGGGCTTCTGACCTCCCTGACCTACACAGGGCAGTGGGCAAGCCAGAGACAACTCCAGGCCCCCAGCCCCACCCAGCATGGGCCCAGGCATAGAACGGGGTCCAGGCACATAACAGGGACCAGGGGATGTTTGCTGAGTGAGCAAGGAGC